GGCTGGGCTCATGCATGCCATTTGTGGTTAGAGGCTGGCTGGCTTGGGGCTGGCCAGTTCTGGTTGGCCTCACTCGCATATTTGGAACATGTCCTGTAGTTTTGCAGTAAACATCTTTGCTATAAGACAATTCGTGATAAAAGATAAAAGAACAAAAAATGAAACAGGAATATTAAAAGACATAATGGACATAATGAAACATTTAAAAGTTAATAACAAAATTTAAAAATCTTTGCTGAGAAAAATGAAAATACCTTGTCTTTGAAAGTTTTTGTTCATTATATTATATGTTTTTCTCTTCTTCTCCTCCTCCTCCTCCTCCTCCTCCTCCTTCTTCTTCTTCTTCTTCTTCTCCTTCTTCTTCTTTTTCTTATGGATTTGTCTTCTCTTTTGGCATTGCACTTTTTTTCTTTATTAAAAGACATATCAGCCTTGGCCAAGTAACTCAGCTGGTTAGAGAGTTGTACTGATAGGCCAAAGTTGTGGGTTTGATTCCCAGTCAGGACACATACAAGAATCAACCCATGAATGCAAGATTGATGTTTCTCTCTTTCCTCCCCCACTCCCTCTCTCTCTCAAAGTCAATAAATAAATAAAAATGTAAAGTGGTATCAGTTTCCAACTAAAGAATTGGTAATTAATGCTCTGGAAGACTTGTGAATTAGCTGCCTGTTTTATATTTGCATACATAGCTCTGTAAACTTTTGACAGGTGTGAGGGATGACTGTGCTCACCAAATGATTTACAAAAACTGATATATTATCATTTTTATATGGTATGTTATCTAGCTGTACACATAGCTTTGCAATCTGGCTTTCTATGTAGTCATTGTCATCCAGTATTTTAAGACTACCATGTCTACTCCTCACAGTATAGACCACATGTGTCAAACACAAGGTCCGCGGGCCAAATCCGTCCCACCAGGCCTTGCAATGTGGCCCGCACCGCGCTGTCATCACTGCACTCCGCTGCGTTTCCATCACAATGACAGTTTATGACTGTTCAGTAAACCATTCGGCCTGCGATTTAGGCTGGATTTTAGATTTTGGCCTCTTCTCTGATTGAGTTCGACACCCCGAGTATAGACCATTATGAGGGCTAAAATTTACATAAATTACAAATGGGAGTACTGAGAGAACTTCATCAATGGAGAAGGAAACTGAACTGACAAAGTACATGAAGTTTGCCAAATGTAAACCAAACTGTCAGCCAGTTATTTTACCTTTTATGGCAAAATTGCCTTATGGCCAATGTTGGCAACAAAAGTGTTTGCAGCAAACATACTTGTTGCCAAAAATGTTTATGGCGAATCTACCTAGACCAAACTGGAATTTTGCTGTCTATGGACAGAGGTAAGGGAGGGTGGCTGGGATATTAAGGTATCTTTTTATTTGTCTTGTTTTGTTTGATGCCTTTCATATGCACACCAGTCAATCCAGAGCTATATCCCAATAGTACCCCTCCTCAGGTTCTCACAGGGAGCCACCATCCACCTGCCCTAATCACACCAACACCACACACCAGACCGTTAGGGACAGTGCCTATGCCTGCAGGTCAAAATAGCCAGTCCTAATACTGCTTATGGTTTCCATAGGCACCACAATAAAGGCACGCCCCACCTTTTCCTTCACTCATTCTGCCTCCTGCCCAATCCTGGGGCCTCCCTGTGCGCCCCCTGGTGGCATAGCATGCTTCCTCCTCTTGGGATCTGAGCATAACAATCTGTCTTTTCCAAGTGGCAACTCTAGTCTATAAGCCTCTTTATAACTTGAAAAACAATAACACCTACAACTTCAAACAGCTGGGCCACGCATCCTGTCCTCATCCAGCAGGCCAGCCTGGCCTTGCTCACATGCTGCAAGGTTCCAAGAACAGCAAGAGGACAAGGCCCACCGTACAAGTGCTTTGCAAGGCTCTTCGTTTCTATCACCTTTGCTTGCTATTGTCTCATTGACCAAAGCAAGGGGCCTGGCCATACCCAGAGCCCTGTGGGAAGAATGGCTGCAGGGAGCCAGGGCAGATCGGGGTCATAGCCGTAATCAGTCTACCAAACAGGTGTTTCAGGAGGTTTCAGATCAACTTCTCTTTGTCTTTGACAGTCATCTGTAGACTTTGGCCACTGAAATAAACAAATAATATCTGTAAAGATGTTACCAGCTGTCATGATGCTAAGAACTATGATTCAAAAGCCTGATCTTCTAAGCTGACTAAATTCTCTTTTACTTGGGGAAGTGACTGCTGGTGACCTGAGGACTTGGACAATATGAAGCATCTTGGGATGGTGATTAGAGTCATTTTTTTTGTCAAACCACAGAGGGGATTGTTACCTAATAATAATTACCACAGAAAAGTTGAGTGTTGTGCCCCTAACACTCTCTTTGCCATGAACATGGTCACAAATCTTTTGACTGAGATTCACAGAATCTTTTTCTTGTAACAGGCTGATTCTTTTCAGGTTTCCTTTCAAACCCAAACTATTGGGCATTGAGCCTTCTTCAGCAACTTTTTTTTTCTTTTTTTATTTATTAAGGTATTATATATGTACATATCTTTCCATTGTCCCCCCTCCCAACCATACCTCCCTCCCCAGAGTTTTGCATCCATTGGTTATGCATGATCTCACTCATTTATGATGAGTGTCACTCATAACTGATGAACAAAAAGATACAGAGACAGTAAAGCAACAAACAAACTGCCAAATTACAGTGGGGAGGGTAGGGAGATATGGGGGAGATAAGAGAGCAACTTTCAAAGTAACATTCTGAACTTCCTTTTCAAATTCTTCCTTCCCTTGACAATTATTCACCCATATTGTCACCCCACACCAATGTTGTGGGGTGTTGTATAGCGCTATGGGGAGCTTATGTTGTATAGCGCTATGGGGAGCCAAGTAGCCAAGGAAGAAAAAGAGAAAATAAATTGGAACAAATGTCAAGTTGTATCAATATTTCCTCTGAGCAACAGTTACTTCCATGAAGCAGGAAAAAAACCTTTCAGTCCACTTATTCCAAATTCCAGAAACAGTCATAAACAGGAAAAAATACATCCTTCCTCACAAAGTCTAATTGCTTGCCTTTGAACCCTAGATTTTTATTTTATTGTACCAGTGACATATTTTCCAGGATAATTTGGTGTGGGAATCCGATAGGCCTTAGTTTGAATCTCAGCTTAACATACTGGCTGAGGAAAATGCAGCAATTTAAATTGTCAAAGTGTTCATTTTGACTTCTAGAACATGTATAGAATAGGCCTGATATGAACACAACCCTTTTAGAAAGTTCAGAGCTGCCTTGCCTCACTCTCTGCCCTCTATTCTACTTTAGGAAGGTCCTGAGGGGAGGATAAAATGAGTTTTTTATGAGGACATAGTGTTGCTACACTCGATAGTTTTTGTGGGATGATGAAGCGATTATAATAGTACTGGATGGGTGCAAATTGTTTCTCTTTTAGATTGTGGTCTCTTAGATCTCTCTTCCTGTCACTCTTCTTTCTTCCATGTCAGGATACCGTTGTAATAGGTCTGGGAAAGTGGAGATCTTCTGTTTGGAGAAGTCAAATAGGAGTGAGGGTGGGGTCAGGGGACATGCTTCTGTCAATTCCGAGGAAGAGAACAAACAGTATAGGGACCTAGGACCAAACTTCATTGAAGAAAGTCAATTTGTCTCTTTGTAGCATCTTATAGGTAAATGTCTATTGTGGTTGCTCATTTGTGTGAATTCAGTATTCTGGACATATCTCTTTCTATAGGAAAGTCATGATGTTTATTAATCATTGCACAGGATTAATTTGAGTTTAAATGAGATGATGTCAATATAATCCCTCATTCAGTACCTAGTAAATAGATATACCTACTCAATGTTACTTGTTAATTTCTTAAAATGTAGGCGTTTGGGGTTTGTAATAATAACTAACTTCTTTTAAAGTGTGAGTCAGCATGTGAGCTTTGGATTTATGGTTATTATCTACCATATTGCTATTCAGTGTTTCATTCACAAGATTGTATTATTGGATAATTTTGTAGCAAATATTTAGCTAAATGAATTGAAATGACCAGTCAAAAAAGTAAACTGACTTTCTTTGTTAAATTCTTTGGCCAAGATTTTGATACAGTATCTTTAAAACACAAATTAGGTCATTTAAAAAAAGCATGTTGTATTTTAAATTTCAGAGAACATTTATGACTTATCTTAGAAAAAATATAAAGTGATAAAAATTAGCATTTTTCTTTGGTCTATTGAATGCATTACATTTTCAAAGACCTGAAGAAATTCAAAGATAACTAATGTTATTTCAGAGAAGAAAGGAAAAGAGAGTTTTGTGTTAACAGCTCAACATCAATTTTTTGTAAAAGTCTCTTTCACTTTCTAGTGGTATAGATCACATTGTTGGCCTATGTTAAGCTTTCACAAATCATCCTTTTTATCTAATTTTTATAATTTATACAGAATTATATAATTTTATATTTAAAGTAATAATATTAGGATTATTAACTTTAAATTATGTTTAATAATACTTCTTTTCAAGATTTTGCTTCTGGTTTTATTTTCTGGGAGAAGGGCAGAGGGATGTCATTGTGCATGACCTTGATTTACATGCCTAATAGCCACCTGAACAGTGACTCATTTATTGCTGGGTTAGAATATGGGTGTTTCATGTTAAGAAAACCCAATTTGTTATTTAATATAAAACATACACCCTGGGGTAAGAGAGAGGGATATGTAATTACTCAGTTAATACCCAATTCATACCTTTGAAATGCTCCCTAAGGTATATCAGGAAGATTTGGTAAACAGACACACACACACACACACACACACACATACATTTTTTTTATAGGCAGCACAGTAGAGTCATGGGTGTTTCATAAAGTGGAAATACCATGTGTAGCAATAAATCAAATGCCTGTATATAGCACAAGTTCAAAAGGGCACTGCTATTGTATCAGGGCTTTCAGGTTCTTTTATAAACAAATATCCTGACCTCTTTATTTTCTTTTGCAGATGACCTCTCTCAGCAGGAGGACAGTGATCCCCCAAAGGAATATGATCCTGGGCAATTTGCAGGCCTTCTCCATGGATCCTCTCCAGCTTGTGAGTCCCCTGAAAACCCATTTCATCTCTACAGGAAAAGAGATGAACATGAAGAAGGACAAGATGAAATCATTTTGGCCAAAAATCCTCTGTCTTTCAAGCAGTCTCCAATAGAAAATAACTCAGAACCTTTGGTAAAGAAAATTAAACCCAAGGTGGTCAGTAGAACCATTTTTCACAAAAAACCCAACCAGGTCGAAAACCATACCATTGTTGGTACAAGAACAACTAGGAGTGGATCCCGGAATGGGGACCAATGGATTGTGAACACGGGGGGATTTGTGGAGAGAGCCTGCACCCTGGGGAGAATCAGGTCATTACCAAAAGCCCTGATTGACATGCATTTATCCAAAAATGTGTCTAAGTCGGATTCTGATCTCATTGCCTACCCTTCAACTGAGAAACCATCGAGAGTTAACTGGAGTGAATCTTCCACTACTGAACCCAGCTCGAAAGGGAATTCTGAAAGAACGCCATCCTTCACCTCAGAATGGGAAGAAGTAAGCCTTGCTCTTCTTTACATGAATGCTTTGGAATCGAGGAAGGTTTTGGGGGGAGGATTTTCAGCTTTAAGTCTTTCAGGGGCAAATAGAAAAGAGAATTAACAACACATACAGCTAGGAGTGGAAGGGAAAATTCTAGGGGCAGCACATGATAATTTAAAAACAAATAGAGTTCCACATATGTGGGGAAATCTATTGTTTCCATAGAAATTGATATCAAGCAGAAGTAATAACTAGCTATGAGGTGCAAGAGAATGTTCACATATGTCTTCCCAAGCACTGCAGCTGACAAATTGAGAAAAAATCTTGTTTTTTGCCGCCCTATATCATTTTGTTTACTTACTAAACTTTTTGTTAGCTTGTCTCTCTTCTTTAAAGAATCTTAGCTATTCAAAGGATCTCCATTATAGTCTTAAAATTACTTAATATTTCCTTTTTACAACTATCAGAGTGACTTTAAAGAAAAAAAAGTTGAGGTCACGTATCAGCAATTTAAGCTCTCCCTAAAGAAAATATATTTAATTTCATAGAATTACTCAGAATGCAAGGACCCTTGTAGGATTATGAAATATCAAACTTTGTCCCTAAAGAGGACTACATCATGAAATAATAACATTTCTTGCTTTTTCTTCAATGTCTTCAAAGATTGGACCACACTGTCCTTTGACATTTTATTCAAACATGTCACATTTTATCTCTCAAAAGACTGTGCCAGTTGGATTGGGCTTTGAAACACTGTAGGTCACTGTAATATTCTGAGAAATAGAAATTGAAATGGTTCAGATATTGACATTCTAAATTGAGCTGTTTGGGAAAAATCACTCAATATCCCTGCATCTCTTTCAGGGTGAACAAAATGAGACATTGAAGTAATGCTTCTTGTCCCTTCTGGAACCTGCTGCCTTACCAGGGATTCTAGGATGACAAGGAGGGAGAGTTAGCCATTAAAGGGCTAAAGCTTTTATAAAAGTCAGCCATTAAAGGGCTAAATCTTTTATAAAGTCACTTCTTTCTATATATTTCATACTACTGTATCCCCCAAAATAAGACAGCGTCTTATATTAATTTTTTCTCCCAAAGTTGCTCTAGGTCTTATTTTCAGGGGATGTCTTATCTTTCCATGCACTAGGTCTTATTTTCGGAGGATGTCTTATTTTTGGGGAAACACAGTAGATAGTTTGTTTGAATCTACCCATTACTTATATTTATTAACTCTGTGAGTAACATCTGAAATTTTTTTTGGAATGAGGCGGGATTAATTAACATTTAACTTGCCTCTTAGAATTAAGTTGTTTCCATGCCTTGATTCTTGTGATTACATGCCACAAGTAGCTTGTGGCCGGTCAGACCATTTAGTGAGACCTTGGTTCTGATGGCCATGCCTACAAACTGAAACCCACCCATCTGCAGTCAGAGGAGACACGTGCCCCAGAGGTTAGAGATCCTCACGTGACTTATTCTCAGCCCTTGCCCTTATGACTCTAAAGAACACACAATTCCTAAAGTACTGACCCAAGTAGTTCCAAAGTTCATTTTAGGAGATACAAAGAAAAGTCAAATTGATTTAGGAAGCTTAGGAAAAGGAAACATAATTTATATTTTTAAAAGCAATTCAAAAGATGTCTGTTTCCCTTTAAACCTTTGTAGTCTCTTAATTGTGGTATAGAAGTGGTAATAACATCAAGAATACATGGTAGAGCAAAAGCGGGTCTGTAGTTGTGCATATGGAAAGTGATACAAAAATTAATAAATAATAATACAAGAATAAACTCTGTGTTTCACGTACTCACCACCGTAAACCTACTTTTGCCCCATCCTGTATATGCTTGTGGCATTTGAACATTATTTTAAAATGCAATGCTACGGGTGAATATAATTATTCACTTATACACTTTTTGTTTCTTGCAGATTGACAAAATAATGAGTTCCCTAGATGTTGGAATTAACAGTGAACTTGAAGAAATGAATGGTGAGGCCACAAGTAAGGAAATATCTCCTATATGTTATAAGTGAATAAATGTGCACAGGACCTAGCTAGAAAATGGTAGGCGTCTTTAGATAATTTTGGTTTATCATGACAACAGCAGCTATAAGTTATTTTCTTTTATTAATATCAAACAACCATGACCTCTAAACAGTATCCATTATAAGTATATTGATTTAGCACACTGAGATATTTTTTCCCCCATGTGCTGTTCTACTATGCCAGTTAACAGTAATGGAGTTTCAACTTTAGGTAGAGCTAATTATGAAGCACTTCAAGATGTTGTAGAATCTGATTGACTTCCTAACTACTGTTGCTCATTCATTGAAATGTCCCGTTTTTTTCTGGCCAAAATGGTTAACAACATCTAAGTTGTCAACTCCAGTATGGCAAGAACTGTGTGTTACTCATCTTCATGTATTACAGAATATTTACCAGGGTGTCTCACAAATAGTCAGTTTTGTGATCTATATTTAATCTATTACCTGTATGAAATAATTTCCTTCCCTACAATTAAGGCTCAGAGTAAAAGGCCATTTGAAACTTTCTTTGAAGATTTTTTGCTTAATACTGATGGATGGTGTCAATTACCAGATAGCTACACCTAAAAATGGCTGTAATAGGCCTTCTAAAGAAATACTATTCTGGAAAGAGTCAAAGGATCTGGCTCCAGCTCTGCCCTGCCACTAAGTAGAGGTGTAACTGCAGATTAAATAGATCTATAGAATTTGGAGTTAAGACAGGTGATTTCTAAGCTCCCGGAACAACTGTGTTAAGTTAGTGGTAACAGTTGATAATGCAATCAAGATTTATGTAAGAGAAGCCTGAAAATATATCATTGGGTAAACAATTACGGGATTTTTTGGCCCTTTAACTAGTTATAAGGGCTCTTTAAACAGCATTCCAAGTGACTCTTAAGCATAGGTAAGTTGTAAAATGGTTCTCTTGTGAGGCACTGGGCCTGGGGATAAGCAGTGACATTGAAATCAGGTTGCCCTCACTGGACACCCTTGTGGGAGTATCTCACTTATGTCTCAGGTGTGGGATAAGTAAGAACTTAAATTATTCTAATATGATTGGTCTCCATGTTAATTAAGTGATAATTTTTTAAAATATATTTCTTTATTGATTTCAGAGAAGAAGGGAGAAGGAGAGAGAGATAGAAACATCAATGATGAGAGAGAATCATTGATAGGCTGCCTCCTGCACATCCTCTACTGTGGATTAAGCCTGCAACCCAGGCATGTGCCCTTGCCTGGAATTGAACCTGGGACCCTTCATTCTGCAGGCTGATGCTCTATCCACTGAGCCAAGTTGGCTAGGGCATTAAGTGATAATTTTTAAAAAGCTTAAACAATATTTTTATGAAATGCATACTCATTTTAGATTTTGAAAACTGAAACATTATGGAAAAGCACCAAAATTGTGTCTATATATTTAGTGACACAAGTGTATTAGCTCAGCGACAGCATGTGTGGCCAGGTCTCCCATCCAGAAATGCTGAACTTAAAGACTTTTCTAAGTGTCCATAGAACTGGTCTAGGAATGAATGTTACCACATAGTTCTTTCGGAAGTGCTTATAGAATAATTTCAAGTAAACTGTAGGAATACAGAGTCTTGGTCAACATAAAGATAAGGCTTTATTTTCTTATACATAGTGAATTCCCTGACACTGAGAATTCCATTCAGAGCCCTGGTGGAAGACTTAGGTGTCATTGAACATTCATGTTCTAAAACTCTTCAATCACGTAGTACCATAAAATTGTAAAAGGATGTTACAAACATGATTATAATGAAAATAAGGGTAAATGTTAAAAATGCCACTCAGACAAAGCTGCCTGTGTAGGGCATTTTAACCATAAACAAATGCATTTTCCCTTAGTTCTCCTCCTCCCACCTCTTATGCTCCATCCTACCTGCTGCCTTTCTTTACTATTTACTACAGTGGGAATGAAAATGAAAGTAAACACTTAGTCCCAAAGACTGAGCACTGTATGCACCTTAATTGTCACTTATTAATTATACACTAATTATGTGATTGACCATAACAATTGGTATTCCAACTGGCCATGAGGCCATTTGTGGATTATAGCCTTACTGGGCTGCAGGCTTTTGCCTTTGGAGGCTGGATAGCACTAGAGAGGTGATAACCCCATGAAGGTGACCTTCCACAGGTATTGTATCAGGCATGAGTACGGTGAGAGAATCACATGGTGAAATTAAAAAGTCAGACTGACATGAATTCAAATCTCAGTGCTGCTGTTTACTAACTCATGATTGTAGACAACTCCCTCAGTTTTCCCAATGACAGAAATACGGATATTGATATTGAATAATGCAAGAGAGGTGCAATGGAATATTTGTAGAGTCTTACACCTGTAGATATGTGTTCTATTTCATCTTCCCCCTTGCCCTACCAGGAGGGAGACATTGAGTTTGATACTGTGGACAAATCAAGATAAACACATATCAGCCCTTTCTTGAAGAGCTAATGATGGCAGCTAGTCTCATGGTCTTCATGTTAAATTTGCTGTATTTCCTGAAATTGTAGTGTGTCGATTGCAATACACAGTCAAGTGGTACCAAAGAAGAGTCCTTACTAAAAGAGAGCATAAAATTAAAGAGGACCCTCGAAAGGAAAAGAGAAAACTTTAGAATGTAGTGATTTAAATGGTCTAAAGTATTTTTTTCTGAAGTCTAAGTACCCTCTTTTTGCCTGACAATGGGGATGAGATGTGCGATGAAATTAACAACAGGTACATTTGGAATGAGCAAGAGGAAATACCACTGTTGTCCGTATCTAGAATTTTGTGTTGGAAGGCCTCTGAGCCAAGCACTGTGTCTGGCTTTGACAGAGCTGCATAATTTTATGAGCTTGTATGGTGTTTGTTGCTACAGACCTCAGAAGATAATAGAATAAAATCTTTTTTTTTAATATATTTTATTGATTTTCCACAGAGAGAAAGGGAGAAGGATAGAGATATAGAAACATCCATGAGAGAGAAACATCGACCAGCTGCCTCCTAAACACCCCCTACGGGAGATATGCCCGCAACCAACCATACATGCCCTTGACAGGAATCAAACCTGGGACCTTTCAGCCCATAGACTGACGCTCTATCCACTGATCCAAACCGTTTTTGGCTAGAATAAAATCTTAAGCAGTGGAAATAAATGAAGAATCAAGGATCACCATTTAATTGTCCATGCCTTTACCCATTTTGTTTCAGTGTTTTGTTTGCCTGTCCCTCAACCTGCACATTTGCAAGTTCAGGCATTTTGTAAACAGAATACTCCTTGGACCAGGAAGGGATTTGGAACACCTTCATTTTCACTCTTATTGACCAGTCTCATATAACTAATTCCACTCATAAGAACCACTTTCTTCTTTAAAAACAAATTCCTCAGTAATTAATAGTTTGAAACTTATCCAGCAACCTCAACTGTCCAGTACTAAGATAGACATAAAAGTAAATAAAATTTACTGAATTTATTTTTGGCCAGCCCCTTAGGGTTCTAACTCAGAGAAATACTAAGTCAAAATTTCCACAAATGTAATTTCTGGTGTCCCACTTGAAATCAGATTTAAGTGCCCAACCAACTAGCATTAGCAGCAGGATTCAATTATATTGAATATCTCATATGATGTAGGACATCCTATTTTGAGATGATGCTGTGACAAGTTAGTACATTCTGCAGAATAGTGAAATCCCATGTATAGGATTTTTTCCCAGAGAACAAGTCTTTTAAGTTATATGGACTTGGATTGAGACCCTAGCTTTGCTTTGTGATCTTTGATATCAACTTCATCACCTATAAATTCAGATTTTTTTTACAATTATATCATCCGAATGCTGCAAGATGAAATCACACAGTTGTACTACTGTAGCCTAAAATGCACCAGGTGATTAATAAATATAAATTCTCTTGCTTCTGATCCCAGTATGCTTGGCTATCTTTCCAATTAGAGTGTATACCACAAAGAAAGATACTTGGGAAATTTTGCTTATCTTTTTATCAGTGAGGATTGTAGTTAAGAGAGAACTACTTATATTCTAAGTTGCTTTCATGTGGAGTCTTTTCTGAATTTTTATTTCTTTTTTTTAAAATATATTTTTATTAATTTCAGAAAGAAAGGGAGAGGGAGAGAGACACAGAAACATCAATGATGAGAGAGAATCATTGATTGGCTGACTCCTGCACTGGGGATCAAGCCCACAACCCAGGCATGTGCCCTAACCAGGAATGGAACTGTGACCTCCTGGTTCATAGGTCGACATTCAACCACTGAGCCATGCCAGCCGGGTTGAAGTTTGATTTTTTAACCATTGTCCTTGTATCACAAGGAAGCACTTTCAAGGTAGAAAATCTATTAAAAGTACTACTTCAAATTGTCACACTTTCTAAGAGTCAGTTTGATGGTCTTCTTGATGAGTTTGAAGATCACTTAAGTAAAGAGGAGGCTATAATTGGCTCCAGAGCAATCAAGTGCCCAGACTTTCCAGTACAATGGTGGCAGGTAATCTTAGATACACAGTCCTTGAATAATGATCTCCTGTTGTACTAAACACACTTCAGGTCTCTGGACTGTATTAGATTGAACTTAAGTACATTAATGTGAAAGTTAGTAGTTAGTTCACAGGTACTTTCTTTTAAGACTGGGATTTTTCTTCTTATACTTAAGGTTAAATTGTTTTCAAAGAGAAATATTCCCCCGTCTTATCTTTAAAAAAAAACCCTACTTTTTCCAATACATGAATTCCATCTAAATTTTAATTATCAATGAAAGCTATTAAAATGAATTTATAAAGGATTTTATCATGGGCTACACTGTCTATATTGGGTAAAACATAATTCTTAAGCTGGAAAATGCATAGCTCTAAAAACAGTAGCTAACGTTAATCCCACAACCCTACTTTCTAAGCATTTGCTCCTCTTCCTCTGAGAGTCTGAGGACCAGGTTAGAGTCCCTCATCCTCCACGAAGAGTTTCTAGG